GCATTTGTAACTCTTTGAAATCATACTTCTGAATGCATTGTGGTATGTTGACTCTAAGGGCTAAAGTTTCTAAGCAGCTTGCAGAATAATGAGATTTGTGGGCATGACTCCTTTGCACTGCTATAAAGATTTACTCTTTAGAGTTTAAAGATTTTTTAAAAATCGGTTTCTTTGTGCTGCTTACTTGTAAACACTGTGCTTGGAGCATGGATCCTTTACAGCAGAGTTAGCCTTTTCTCTTTCAAGTTACTTATTGTGCTTGAGGGGCTTGTGAACATCTACCCTTAACTTTATAACTCAAGGGTGTGTTATCCTTAGCAGCAGCTGATTCACGATGCAGTTTTTGTCCGATTTGCCTCCACTCTGCACTTGGCATTTGTGTGCATAAAATATTTGCACTACACATTTCTTAACAGGCAACTCATTCTCTTTCTTTACCTGACCACAATTCCACTGATAAGTGGCAGAAACTTGTAGCTATCTTATGGAAAATCTCAGTCCAATCAAAAATTATAGACTCATGGGCCACATTTCTCAAGTTAGCAATGCCCAAAATGTTAATCTAAAATGTTTGGGTTTTGCAGTCATTGGGTTTCTGACATTTCATAGTCCATTATACTCTCCATTATTATTTCCCATCAAACTGCATGACAAGTAAGCCTACCTTACATGTAACTATTGCCTGCAGTCTGTCTGATCTGGCGGTTTGGGCTGGGTCTAACCTCGAATAGCTTTGTTTGCCTTCACAGTGATGCTGTAGCACAGCTCTATCAGCGTGCCAAATATCAGGGTGAGGTGGCTTCACTGATTGCAGGGCTGGTGCTCCAGTGTTTGCACTGCCCCAGGCACTCCTGCACCACACCCGCTGCTGTGTATGCTCTCCCTGGGTGCTGTGGGACATTTGTCAATCTGAAATACAACTTCCTGATGTAATCCAGGATGCAGCCACGTATTACTGCTTTTTTTCCTTCCTTCACGTTCATTGGCACAATGAAGCCACATCTCATCCTGCTGTTTTCTTCTGAGCTATTCAAAGCATGTGTTGAAGCCCCTTGCACACCAAAAATGCATATTGTGCTATTACTGCCTCAAGATATCACCAGATTTTGAGTACCATGGTTTTACCCCATCAGCAGCTTTTTGGTTAGCTGATGCCATTAATCATGAGCTATGGGAAACATAATTACAAAAAAATGAAGAATAAGAATGCTATGCAAGCCTCCTGGAAGACAGGGAAGAGAAGGGAAAAAAAAGCTATCTAGTACACACAGTTTTCACACATGGCTTCATCTGCCTTCCACTTTCCTCAGGAATTATGTGGTAGCCATTTTACAATGACCTTGTTATCATAAAGTTATACATATGCCTAAGTAATTTGATAACCAAGGTACTAAGGCTTGAGCTTTGTCTGTCATGCTGCCCAAAGCTGCGTAAGTATATTGACTTTTCCATAATTAAAACAGCAATACCCATTCATTGGAATTAACTGTTTGCTAAAGAAAAACATAACCAGAACTGTTAGCAGCAGACTTTTACAGACTTTGGAAAATGTTAAGGTTACAAGAATAACCTGCATAGACATGAAAAGCTGAAAGACAGGTAGAAAGGCAAAGAATTAAACAAAGGTTAAAAACTGTTGAGTATTTCAACACATTAATGTGTTTAGAAGGCTTCATTCTTATCTATTCCTTGTACCAACTATGCTTTTATGCTTATTTTTTAGACCCTTTACATCTTAGTAATACAACTGTCACACCAAGCGTTTGTACGCATCTTAAAGTGTTTTCATTTTGAAGGAAAAAGGTTTCCTGCATTCAGAATGGCCTCCTTGCTTAGCATGCACTGGGAGTAGAGAAGGTTGCAGCACTGAGGATGTGTCTGAATCCTCAATACATTCCCCATCCAGCACCTTTTAGCTTATCCCCGTTAAATACAGAGAATTTGGGGAGGGGTGTGGTGGTGGCATCTTTTTTTTTTTGCTTCATTTTGCTGCCCAATGATGTGACTTGGCACGGCTGCTTTAGGGGAGGCAGAGGAAAGGTGATTGGAGTCAGGCTTTTGTTCCTTGGCCAGCACAATGTTTCGGGTCAGTGAGCCAGGCTGCCTTTGCTGCTGTGCATTCACCTTCTTCCCTGTATTAACCCCAGCAGCTTTAATACACCTTTTCCTGGGGACCAAAAAATGCTTTTCTTCCCAACGTAGTTGTTGTCAGATCTAGTTTTTACAGGTTTAAGGAAGCATTACACAAATGCTTTAAGCAGGCAAAAATCAACTCCTGCAATCATATCCAGCCTTAAGCATGAAAGCTTTTTAAAAAGTAACAATTCTTGAAGCACCATTTTTACTCAAAAGGTGATCCTGCCTGGATCTGGTAAATTGATCCAATGGTTCCTACAACTCGAGGATGTCACAAAGGGTCGGACCAAGCTGTGTCCGAACCTCAGATCTGGTACTTTGGGAGCCAAGCACTCCCAAAAGCAGCGTGCTGTTTTATATCTACTCTGCCAAGTGCTGGACTGGGACAGTGCAGAAAAGAAGCCAAAGATATTTTCTGCTTTTTGTGCCAGCTCTTGCAACTCTGGGGCTTTTTCTGTAAGGCCTCAGTCCTTACAGCCTTGTAAATAAATTATAGCTATGACAACTGAAGAAAGCCACAATCTTCACAACCTTGCTCCCCAAGCCCTGTTACCCTCCAATTCCCCCCTAAAACCATGCAGAGTGCTTAAATAGCCATAAAGGCAATTAAAACACATTAAAAATATGCTTTATGAGATAAACTGGAAGTTTTGTATGCTCACCATTGGCAAACTATTTTGTCTTTTCAGCTTCAGACTTGTGCCTCTTTCTCTTTCTTTGAGGATAAAGGGTTTCCCTGAGTTTCTAAAGAGCTCTGGTGACCTTTTCTGGACTCAGCTTTTTTAGTAGGCAGCACTTCTGTTGCCATGGCAGTGGGAGCCAGAGCCCCAGCTCTAATCAAAAGAGTTGGGGGATTTCTTCTGAGGCATCATTGCCACAAGGAATAGAGCAATTAGGTGAGGATATACAGATGCTGCCTACGTTATCTGATATGGCGTATTTTGCTACAGATAGGTAGCTATGGCATTTATAAAGAAAATTCATTCTTTGTGAATTTTGTCATGTAAAAGATCCACTTAGGGACCTCTTCTGTACTTAACTTCACTGTGGCCTGAGAACACCTGCTTCAAAATAGTGAGTGGTGGTGCACCCTATAAGAGGAGTTATAGCAGCTCCATCTTTCTGGAGAGAAGCCAAGTGCCAGTAAGCATTCTCTTTGTAAACCATATTTCATTAAGATCTAGCAGACTTCTTGCCCCCTCCACATGAGCAGCTGCTGTTCACAGTCAAAAGTCACAAACCACCCAGCATTGCAGAGCCACAGAACTTTCACTGGGGCTTAGCAGATGGGAACATCTCCATGCAAGTAAGCTCATATTTGACCCTTGCACACAGCTGTCACCATTGCAATCAGTAAAGCTTAGACAGAGGCCTGCAATCCAGTTTTGTGACCAGATGTGTGGTAACTACCACACAGATGCACTCTAATGACAGCAGCACAAAATTCCCTTGTGCCAGTTCACTCAGCTCACAGGGCACAGAAGGACCAAGAGTCTGTCCCAGGGCTATGCACTGACTGGGCTCTTCCTAGCCAGTCATTGCTCCTTGCTCATATCTCCAGTCACTTCTCCATAATATTTGGAAAAATAGGTGCTCTGTGGAGGTATTTTTTGATTATTTTTTTCCCCTCTGGTCAACTGATGAGATGACATGTTTGGGTTTTTTGGTGTTGAGTTTTTTTGGTGTTGTTACTTTGGATTTTTTCAAGAAAACCAGAGAAAAGAAAGGGACCAAGATCCATTCTGAGTGAAAATGTTATTCTTTGGTGAATGTTAGCAAATGGTGTAAGGTCACAAAACTAACAAAGAGGTTAGGTTTGGTACATTGCTCAAAAGTAGAACACTTATGGGCTTATGATGCTTCTCCCCAGAAAAGCAAATAAAGACTATGATCTAGTTAAAAAAAAAATCTAAAAAAAATCCACAAGAAGCTAAACACACCTTACATGCCACATGCTATAAAAACTCAGATCTAAATCACTACTGCTTTTCACAGAATATAAATCCAAAGATCCTTTTGCTTACACAAAACTACTTAGTACACAAATAAAAAGCGTCATTAAAAAAATGTAATCTTTAAATGCATACACAAACTGCTGTTAAATAGTCTGTAAACCACTGCTCTTCTGGGCAGAGTAAATATTTTGTGATTTTGTAAATATAAACTGTTGTCCCTTCATCTGAAATGCAAACTGTTTTCTTTATTACTGATATAATAATGTTTTTTTAAAAGATGAGCTGCACTATTTGTATATGTCACCACTGTGCTCAGACACCAAGTAAAGAATATTCCAGCAGGCAAATAATAGAAAAATATTTAGTTCCCCTTCTTCAAACATATGCTTTAGAAGGGAAATAATTTTGTTTGATGGAAGCTCTCAGGGGAACTGGAAACATAGACCTTAATCATGACTAGACTTTGCTTAGTTTCATCACATATGCATTCACAAGACTGTTCTGAGAATCACCACAGTGATTCCAGTCTTTAGGTGTAAGCTAGCTGAAGATTATCTTAGTAATAGGTCAGGTGAAGATCTAACACAAGAGAAAAGTTGTTTTTTTTTTCACATGGAACAGAAATTCAGCAATATTCCATATACTAAAAGTATGTAACATACAGGACATGATATTTATTGTTGTTGTTTTTCATTTACTGGAAATTAGGATGTGGCAGCTCCTAAACCAACACACATATTTCTTAACAGAAAAGCTGTGCTTCCCCACCTTCCCCTCCCACAAGCTGCAACATCAGAAAGAGGTAAATAGACAGTTTTTGCTCTCAGGTCTATAACTGCAAATGACTTCATGAACTCCCTTCTGATACTGACACTTGACTTGCCAACATCAAGAAGTTTAATCACTGACCTCATTTTTGCTTGGTGTGGTCTCATGTCAGTTGTGTGTCCCAGTCCTTGAGGGGTCAGGGGTCAAACCTTCTTAAAGAGCCATAAATGCAGGTTGCTTGTCATGAACATGGAGAAGGCTCAGCTGGTCACTAAGAAGGAGATACAAACAAGACTCCAAGTGAAACAGCTAAAAAAACCCCAACCCCGAACATGTACTTGTAACAGCTTTATACAAATCTTTGACATGGTCTGTTGCTTTGTGGGGTTGATGAGGAGCTGGATGTTCCTGCTCCTGATTGCAGTCTCCTGTGCTGGTGGTGCCTGCATGGACCCTCCTGGGTCACCTGAAGCATGTGGGATAGCCTAAGGAGGCACTTCAGGAGGATGCCAATGACGACTGGTTTCCTGCTCTCCACTGGAGTTGTGGGAAACACTGAGGAGATGACAATAACCAAGTAATCCAAACAAAGTGCACATCTCCTCTAGTTCAGGCAGTAGCTACAGAGCCAACCTCTGTGGCAAAGGGATTAGTTTGAAGTTGCTACTACCGAGGTTAGTGTGCCCTAGCTGCACTTTCTGAACTCTTCCCACTTCTCTGTCTGTTAGGAGACCCTATCCTACTTACCAGTTTTGCTTCCCCCTGCCAAAATAAAAGTTTACCCTGGCATTTCCTTGAAGTAGAAGCTTACCAATTCTAAATCAAAAGGCATGTTTAATTAAAACAGTGGTGAATGTCACTTGTAAATCACTTAGGCAGAAGAGCAATCATCCAAATACAAACATGCCACCAGACACCCTCTTCTGCATCTACTCACCAAGGCTTCCAGCTGAAGAAGTCACTACAATTTTCTTTCAAAAATCAGAGATACTGGTGCTGACCAGGAGTGCAGACACATCTTCCCACCTGGCTGGGACAGCATGTTGTCCAGTCTTTAGGTATAAGCTAGCTGAAGATTATCTCAGTTACAGGCAGGCAACAGTCCTCCAGCTGGTGCAGGGAATTACCAGGCAGAGAAGCACGGATACAAACACCACCACTGAGCAGCTAATGTTTGGAGCTATTGACCAAGCTGGTGGTGCACAGGCCTTTTGTGATGGAGTTCAAGGGCAGCTGCCCTATGCAAGCCCTAAGGTGGAGCTATGTCTGTAGGCTGAGATCTTGTTGCTGACTTCTTCTGTCAGAGAAGCTCTGCTACCTCTGCAAGGACCTGCCCAGGCAGCAGGATCCCAAAGCAGGATCTCACTCTTCCCCATCCACAGACATTGCAGACAAAGGAGGGAGGCAGGAGGGAGGAGCCAGACTTGGATTCTTTCCTTCTCGACTAGCAGGAATACATGACAGCATCTCAGCCTGGAAGTAAGAGTCAAAGTAGAAACCAGTCTCCCTGTCTCTCTTCCCAAGCTGAGAAGCTGTATTTAGAGTTGATAACATGCTCCAGTAACTGTTGTGCAACTCTTGTCTCTCACATTCTTGCAACCAGGGACAGGACATTAATTTCAAAGCAAGATGCAGTTTCTCCTCCTTTCTCTTCTCCCTACAAGAAGTCTTATTACTCTCCTAATACACTGGTACCTGCAAGAGCTCTTTAAAGCTTTTTCCTTGAAGGTTTGCACCTGATGTTATCAAAAGTAATTAGATAATTGACACACAATTCACAGAAGGCTCTCTGGTTTCTTTATACATGGTATTTTCCTTGGGCTGTGAACTTTAAATGATGCAAATGGGAAAATTCTCTGTTGTTTTACAGCTTTTAACTTTAGGCTATATTAAAACTAATGCCTAATTGATCTTGATGTATCTAAACCACTTTATTGTTCTTTTAGTAATAATTCTTCTTTGTTCCTAGTTGCTCTCTTGCCAAGGGTGATGACTGTAATGTTAATGACTCCAGTCTCTTTAGGAACTTGATAGAAGTTTTTGCTATTTGTCAAAGGCCCCTGACTTACAATTTGTTTTGTTGTAATAATCACCATTTCAGTGGGAAGATATTTACCAAGTTTTGTTTAACAGAACTGCCTGTAAGAAATTAATCCCAAACAGTTTAAGTGGAAAGGTTAGGTAGAAAATCACAACTTTTCCCCCTGATTGGGCTGTCTTCAGTTTGCATCTAACTACAGTATCCTTTAAGGTCCCTAGACAAGAAGGAGTCACATTTTCAATGAATGCTTATAGTTCTCTTAGTTTTGCTAGTTTTGATGTTCAGAGGTTTTTGGAAGCAATGTTCACCTTAATTGCTACCTCAGAAACAAATAAAAATTAGACTGCGTTCACTTAAATCTTACCACAACTCTGCCATATGCAGTAGATATCAGGGATGGATTTAATAGATGATTTTCGATTAGAAGATTTTAGGATAGATGTACAGCACTGAAGAACTGAAGTGTCTGGGTATGCATAAAATTAAGTTATAGGACTTAAAGAGACACCAAATAAAAAAAAGAAAGACAATTCCTTTAAAGATAAATAATATGTAATAATCAACTCTTTCTTCCTTAGTCTTTGAAGATGATTGGCTAATACTGTTCTTCTATATGACTCAAACTTTTGCAGTTAATCCTCTTTATGAAGATTATGCATTTTATGTCTTATCAGTTGTAGGTACAAGGCCTAGCGGTGCTGGGAATTTCTAGGGATTTTTTTTTTTTTTTGTTGCTGGGTTATTTTTGATGTGGAAGTGGGATAAATAAATCTTGACTTACATGATTTTTTACTGGAATCAAGTCCTCACAAACTTTTTCAATGTTTCCTTACTTGTCACGTGAGGACTGTTATGTGTATACAACCATTTTGTCCTCAGTTCTTTATTTTTCTTATTTAGGTGGCCATTCAAGACATGATTTACAGTGTTGCCAGAGCTAACAGTGCTCTTTGTTAAAGGAGATGACTCTGTTTTCTCTTTCTGTTGATATTACACAGTTGGCATGGCTGGAGGTGTGGGAATGTAAGCAGCAATATGACCCTGGGCAGCACTGCAGCTAGTTGGACTAGTCCGGTTCTTCACCCACCCCACACAGCAGGTTATTTTAGCAGCAGCAGATGTACAACAAACTGAAAAATTTATGCTGTAGCTTCTGAGAGGTATTTATTCATTCAGATCATGGTATTTTTTTGAAACTGCTGTTCAGCAATCTCTTACTTTGTATCCTGTAATGTAATACATCCAAATATAAAATAGGACAGGTGTACAATTTTTATTCCATAGTTCAGCTTCTTAATTCCAGTCCAGAAATTTACAGGCATGTATGTGCTGTCTGTAAATCCTTTAAGCATGTCCTGAAAACATTATTTTAACGCATAAAAGTTGGTCAGTTTTTACAGCTGTTGTTTTATAACATCTAAGCCAACTATCTCAGACTAGTCAGCACGGAAGTGTATGTTTTCATTTTACTTATTATAACGTATATATTACTAATTGTAGTCTATTGTATAATACTTCAAATGCACACATCTGAAAATATTTCCCCCATCTTTTAGAGAGCTATATTTCCTAAATCACAATAACCAAACATTTTGACCTTGTTTCACAGAAAATTAGACAACTCCTTTGTACTTTTGATTGATCTCTATTATAGCTGCATATCAGCCCAGCTCATTTCTGTCTGTCTTGCCTACTGGGACATTGGACAGGGGTCACACAAAGCTGTCACCAGTTCTTCTTGCCCCTTTATATATAGTTTATAATAGTTGAATTGCCAGGAAATGTTTTACCCTGAATGTTGTTTAACAGCAAGTGAAGGCTGTAATTCCAGACTCTCAGAAAAGTGAGAGAAATGGATATTTTGCAGGATACCTGCAGAAAAGTGTGTTTATTCACAGAGATGCCTGGAAAATACTCTGACCATCAGAAAGACTAGTTTATAAGCAGAAGCATCTCAGAGGCTCAGAAGGGACCACATATTTCTACTTTGCTACCTAGCACTTGTTAACCGCGTGTGTGTGTGTGTGGACTGGACTGGACTGGACTGCTGTGAGGTGTTGAGAGATGTGCAATGAACCACATTACCTGGAGAGCTGTGGGCAATATCAACCAACAGAGTTTGAGGTGAAAAACTGCTGGTCAGGCCAAAGTTTGAAGGAATGTACCCCTTTCCAGGATAACAACTGTGCAGAACAATCTCCAACTCCAGAGAAAAGGTTTATATAGCCATGCTGCAGATTTGTATGAAAAACTGGCAGCAGAGGCCTGATGCATCACTATCCTTCCAGATTACTGTGATATGTTTTGATGTAGAGCAGTAGCTGCAATTTGGAGGCTGATATGACAGGAATAAAGGAAAGCAAACTTTAGCATCATAGAATCATACAGTGGTTTGGGTTGGAACGGACCTCAAAAATCATCTCATTCCAACTCCCCTGCTGTGGGCTGGGACACCTCCCATTAGACCAGGTTGTTCGAAGCCCCATTCAACCTGGCCTTCAACACTTCCAGGGATGGGGCATCCACAACTTCTCTGGGCAACCAATTCCAGTACCTCACCATCCTCACAGTAAAGAATTTAGCCCTCTCTTTTCCAGGCTGGACAATCCCAATTCTCTCAGCCTTTCCTCACAGGAGAGGTGTTCCATCCCTCTAACAAACCTGGTGACCCTGCTCTGCATTTGCTCCAACAGATCCATGTCCTTCTTGGGGCCCCAGGGCTGGATGCAACACTGCAGGTGGGGTCTCACCAGAGCAGAGCAGAGGGGCAGAATCCCCTCCCTCATCCTGCTGGCCATGCTGCTTTTGATGCAGCCCAGGACAGGATTGGCTTTCTGGGCTGTGAGTGCACATGGTCAGATCATGTCCATTTAGGAGGTATTATTTTTCTTTTGTATGAAATTCCCATTCCTTGGCTGACAATGCTTTGGACAGTGCATTTGTACAGCCTTTACACTGGTACTCTGGTTTCCTAGAAACTTGTTTAATGAAAGCACAGGGTATAACTTTAATCCATATGTTCGTGTTGCAAATAAGCTGTGGTGGTGCATAAAGATATGCAGGAAACCAGTGAAAGGATTCTCTTCTAGTAGAAAGAAAAAGGTGATGTTTTACTGCCATCTCTGCAATTGTTGCTTTGATAATGGGAATCATTATAGATATTGATTTTCCTGACATGCTGGGGAATAAACTAGAGCCCTGTACATCTGTAAGCAAAGGGCTGCTGCACATTGGACAATCTCTCTCTTTTTGTAAATAAAGCCCCTCTGACTCTCTGCAGCTTGACTAGAGGTTAACCTGTATCATGCACTCATCAGTGCATCACAGATTACACATCCACTTCAGATTTGGAATAATGCCTTCAGCTAAAGTTGTTATAACCCCTTGGTGGCTCATAAAAAAACCCCACTTTTAAAAATAATTCTACTCAGTTTCTTGTATCCAAATTAGCTCAATAGGGATAATCAAAGGTTAAAAACTTGAAGTCAAGAAGTTCAGCTGCTTCTAAATGTTTGTATAAAGTATATCCACTGAATAAAATGCTTCCTGCTATTACATACTCCCCACTCTGGTCAGCACTCAATTTTGAAAATGGATGAGAAAGTAGATCACCAATGCAATTTCTTTTCCCTCAAAGATGTTTGTCTATGAGCTATAACTCTTACATGGACAAAATCTGTAGTGAGACTGGCCCATGACGACAGAACTTCTGTCGTGCCTTTCTCAGGTGCCTTTCTCCTCCCCATCCCTCTGCTAGAACAAGCCAGGTACCCTGAGGCAGAAGGGCTTGAGGGTCTGCCAAGTCAAGATCAAAACAGTTATAGTCACTCTTATCTTGAGGAAGGGATCTGCAACAGCTGAAACACCTTTGGCACAGACCAGAAAGGTAGGAAGAAAAAAGACCAGGATTCTGGCAGATATCGAGTCAGCAGAAGGGAAGAAACACAAAATAGAAAAAAAAAAAAAAATCATGAAATAACTGAAACACACAAAAGAGGTGAATGCTACAAGGAGCCATGAAGGCAGAGCCCCAATATTCTTTTCTTTAAGAGCTGTATGTGATATCTGAAGAGAAACACTTGTTATCTTGATCCACAAAGGGAGTAGGCAGAGCTACTTCATACTGATCCAAGTTGACATTTCCTAGGAAAATTTAGTTAAACACTTTTCTTCTTTCAAAAAAGCCTGAGATAGAGACAAATATTAAACTGAGGTAAAAAAGTGGTATAATGTTCTGCTTCTACATACTATCTAAAAAGCAGCCTCAGGAACACACACACATACCTTTAGTGGAAAACTCAGAACAAACTCAGGGTCCACCAAAGCTTTTCTCTGTTGTGATCGTGTTATTTCAAAATCAATACATTTCACACCAGGCAGTTCTCCTTATTCTAAATTTAGGTCCTTGCAAAAGGGCTTGATTGCCTCTCAGTTCCCAAATACTTGTGATGGAAATAAAAATGCAAGCCCCACTATGAAGAGGTATCCAAAACTATCAGTGGCTGACCCTTGTAGGTCACATTTCCTTCATATACAGAATCAAATCTGATTCCTAATTTTTCCCTTTTACCACTTATTTCCTCCTTCCTTTCTCAATTAAACTGCCATCTCCTAATCTCACCATTTGGCCTTTCACCTCCTTGAAAGCTCACAATTCTTGATCTTCTTAATCTAGGATCATTACCATCAATCACTTCTTTAGGCAAGGGAAATATTTTTTTTTTTTTTTCACAGAGGGATACCAGAGGCCTACAGATCTTTTGGGTCGATAATATTGTTTTAGTTCTGGTGCCAATTGAGGTTTTTGTCTAAACTGTGCCTAGTGCTATCTTTTGCTGATTAGATGCTCCAGAGTGATCAGAAGAAATTTGCTTGGACTGTGGTTCTTTCCAGGTTGAGTCATTTAGTGGGGAGATCAAGGATTAACTTAATTAAATCAACTACTACTTTCACAGTGTTAGGGATCCTGCTGAGATTAATGAGGACTAAGGTTAATGAGGACCAAGTTTTCCTTTCCTCTGTCTTAGTATCTTTAAGATAGTACCACTCACCAGACTTGCGTCACTGCAGCTCCCCTCACATTCTGTACACTGACCATTATATATCTATATATATCTATCTATATCTATATCTATATCTATATCTATATCTATATCTATATCTATATCTATATCTATATCTATATCTATATCTATACCTATATCTATATCTATATCTATATATATCTCATCTGCTTCTCTGAAATGGATCATTCTGAGTTTTCCTACATCTTTTGCTGAGTATAAGCTTGTCTGCTGTCCCATTTTGCAAGGCTCCTTCTCATTCATCTATTCTCTGAAGCACCAACCAAAGTGGCTGCACAAAATACACAAATTCCTCTTTGTGTATAATTTACCTACTGGACAGTGGTGTGGTAAATACACCTTTAGGTAACCACAAATTATTATTGTTTTAACCCATGTACTCTTTGCTCTCCTGTTGTTTGCATTGTGTCTTTAAGGCCCACTGAAGGACCTACTGCACTGCCAGGTCCTGTAAAAAAGAAAAAAATACTAAGATAAAAGAAACCTTAGAAACAAGGAAAATCTTAAGGCATACCAGATTGCAATGTTTGAATGCAATTTTTTTCAGAAGCTCTTCCTAGATTTTTTTCTCCTGTGGCACCACGCTGTCCAAATGCAGTAACACCAGTTTCAGAAGTCCTGTCCCAGGAGTAGTACCACTGATATTAATGATACACTGAAAGAACAGAAAACCACTTCACAGAGAAAATGTGTTTTCTGAATGCTGCTGAAGCTTTGGAAATGTGATGCATTTCTCTGAATTTCTCTAGCTAAACTTTCTCATTATTTGTTTTTACATATGTTTCTTATCTTTTAGAGATTTTTTTTATATGATCAGATTTTCTTAAATCCAGTCCATTCAGAATTGTAAGAAGGAAAGAGGAGAGAAATATTTCAGGAGATGTAAGAACAGATTTGTGTATTACATGTGGTTAAAAAAAAACCTGTCAGCAACTAATCACACAAATTCACTACAGTTTTTTTAAATTAAAAATCTTAAATAGAAAGTACTACACACACTAAAGATTTAATAACTATTACTTATTCATCTAAAATTTTCCAGTCGAAAGATACTATCTTAGCAAACATTTAGCAAAGTCTCTTGGTACACTAGACATAATAGGTATTTTTTCTTTTTATGTTTTTATGTTACCTTGTAGTTTACATTTCATAATTTTTAAAGGCTTTTCAAAACTTTCAAAAAGGGCAAGATCCTAAAAATGTTATGTAAAAGCACTCTTGGATCCCTGTACTTTTTTTAAGAGAATATGGAGCATATTTAGGAGGGGGTTAAAAAAAGGAATAAATGAACATTATAATACTAGTAGTACTAGCTATAAAAATGTTACTCCTGAACACCTTGTGTTGTTTTCAAGGGCTTTGAAATTATTTCCCTAACAACCTTGTTGGATTAAAAAAGAAAAATAAAACCATTATTATACTCCTGTTTCTTAACATACATGCTGTGTTCTCTTGAAATGCACTGGGTTATCAGCATTACAGATGCTCTTTAAATAGTAAACAGATGCACCCCTGGTCAGTCACACTGAAAGCATGCCAGTACTGCCTTCCTAAAATGCTCCATCTCCAATCCATCCAGGTAGGCTAAAAGACTCTCCCTCACTCAGTCCCTTGCAGAAGTTATCAGTAAAAATGCAAATGAACTGTGATTATGACTATTTTTTTAAACAAAGGTAACATTCACTCCTGCAGAAGTGCCACCTATCTAATCAATTTGGTCAAGCTATTTATACATGTTTCTTCTGTGTGGCATAAGATTTCACTAAGGTCACTGGAGAAGACATTGATGCCTGGTAAATTGCCAGTAATCAAAGGTTGTTAAGTGCTTGTCAGCCTCCTTTCAAGCTTAGTCTATCTTTATCATGAGGCAGACTTAGTTGAGCAGCTAGAGACCGTTCATTCATAAATGGATCACACTCAGGAATAATGCATGATACCATTAAAATATCCATATTGCTGCAGAAACATTTGTTCTAAAGCAATCTCTTTTTTTTCTGAAATAAGACTGTGGCCAATGAAAGCGAAATCTTGTGATGTCTCTGCAACAAGGCTACTATCCACACATGATAGGCTTTGTTTCCCAGCTCCTCCTCTCTCCTTTGAGCCCTGTCCCCCAAGGCCTCTGTTGAGCTTAGATTCTGGAATATATGCAGGAAAAGATATGCTATTTTAGAGTTTTAGTTGCACTTGGAGTTTATTTCAGTTTTTCCAGTTGCTCTCTCCAGTTATAGTAGTTTGTTGGCCGCAAAAGAAAAGGCCAGTTAACCTTAAATGGAAAACATTTAGGGTAGATGCTGACGAACTCTTAAAGATACAAAGATCTTCTTTTCACATCTTGATTAAAGCCACTAAATAATAAATTGAAAAAAAACCTGAAGCAAGTAATTAGTTGGAGAAATAAGTATAGCTCCACTGAAATTATGAGCCCACATTACTTAATTCTACCTGTGCACTACATTTAAAATATGTTCAGAACTACATGGTATTAGAAAAAGAAATCTGTGAAGAAATTTTATAGTATTTTGAAAAAACGTGTCAGAATTAAATTCTCCTGGAGATATATCAGAGGAAGATACATCTCTCCAACCTACCAAATTGATCATAAGTTTACAAGGTGCAAAAGATATGGTTGCAGGAAGAATTAAAGAAATTCTGAATGGTAAATCAATAATGAAATGCTGTGATCAGTGGAAACCTTTGGTGAACACCCAAGACAGACTTGAAGTGAAAGGTAGTGATGATCATTTATTATTAATAAAACTTTTCTTGAAGGAGTCCTGTGCAAGGACTGTTCTCTTTCTCTACAACTGACTAGCAGTCATATGGATTGCTTTCTGACAAAGACTGCTAGAGTTTACAATTTGTGATCAGCTACAAGTAAGTGGAAGGCTTCCCTTGGCAGTGTAAGGTGCTGTGCAATATGACTCAACAAAGGCTGTAAAAGGCATAGATTTTCTCTGCCCTAATAGCAACCTATTTCCCATCAGACATCTCAAAACCAGACCATTGAGATGCAGTCAGACACTGAACGATATAACCCTACCAATCTGTTCTGGTTTAGCAATCCTCCTTTGCCTCTCTATTTTGGGCATAGAGTGTTGCTTCCAGGACTGACATTTTGGGGCCAGTTACAATCAGCAGCTTGAGGGCTGCATTTATATTTGAGGCAGCCATTTTCTTCTTTTTCCAGACCCTTTTTCCTCATGATAAGGCTGCAAATAAATGATGCTGCGAGCACTGCACCTGGGAAAGCTGAGAGTCTGCAGAGACTAGGATGGTTCTATGTACTGACAGCCAAACAAAACTGAAGTATCCTCATACCAGAAACTTGATTCTTCTGTTCCTGAGCACACCATATCTTCAAATTAAATGTAAACAATACCTAAACAAGCTCACTTATTTTAAAATCATAAAATGACAACTCTGTGAACACATCCCTTTAAATTATTTGAAAGATCTCTTCAATAACTTGCAGCAATTGCTTAATATATTGGAAATTTCACAATTTCCCAAGTGCACACATCCTGAATGCTACAGGACCTCATTCCCCTCCTAAAACCTTCATATGACCTGCAACTACAAGATGCTGCCATAAAATAGCACACTGGTACCAGAACCATCCTCTGGATGCAATCAATACTCTTTGTGCATAAACACAGCTTAAGGAGAAATAAACAAAACACAGTCACTGCACTCCCTTAAAACAGGGTAGATTGCACATCAGTATTTTGGTTAGTCAGCCACCTCGTCAGCAATCAAAATAAGCAACTTAATTACAAATGTTATTTTTGGAACCTGAAAGGAGTTACAGCACAGAGGACGTGATCTATCTGCATTTATGGTGCTTTCATCTGGAAATTAATCTTTCAAGCAAAAGCCACATATTTAATTGATATAAATTTATACTCACTCTTACCTTGAACAGTCTCAAAGTTATCAGTCACATTCCACACATCAGTATGAACTGAGAAGAACCATAGATATCCTTCCTAAAATGTTTTAGAGGCCTCTCTCTCCAACAGCTTGATAGGTCTGAGGGACCCATCAGTGTGATGGAAGTCTGTGTTACCCCGATACCAAAATATTGTAATGTGTGACTTGCTTGCACTTCTTGTTTCCTCCCTCATGACATCTACAATACCATTCACTTGCTCACTGTAGAAAGTTAACATGATTTCCATCAAAGATTTCAAAAACTCCGAAACCACCCAAATGATTTCTTGTCAATTTTTCTCTCCACTCCTCTGTGTCAAGAGCACTGCAAGATCTTTTAAGCTGCACTGCAGGGAGCCAACATGCTTTTAGGTGATGGCAGCATACCAGTATTAATTTCACTAACCTAGTTCAGCATGCAGTATGCAATCATTTCCCACTCTCCTCCTGATTTTTTCCCCCAGCCTATTTTCAATTTAATTTATATGTTGGTAAAGATTCTATCTTTAAAAAAGACAGACCACAAGCCTTACATTATGCTGCAGCTGCTGTTGTTATATTTTTCACTAAAAAAAAAAAATCTCACCTTGTGTGAGAATGGGATTTGAATCACAATTGCTAAATATATTATATATAGAAATTTGATTGCTTTAGTTTATTTTTCCTGAAGGGGGAAAATGTGAGGGAAAAACCATACAGTTCATTTCATGCTTCACTACAGTGTAATTCTAGACCCTAAGATTTCGACCATTCCTATTTTGGTAATGAATGGAATGTAAAAGGGAGGTATTTAAAATTAATTGCAGCAGTCCTGAGGGTTAAACCTGCTTAACCCAACCTTTTATTAACAGAATGTCAACAGAGCATATATCTTGTCTAGGGAGTGCTGGAATATCATTATTCTTCTACCAGCATGTTTAATTCTAAAACCTGGGATTTCTTCAGGTTCCTGTAGGCATCATGCACACCATAAACCCATCCCAAATCATAGCATCTGTTCTGAGCTACTCACTACAGCAGGATTTGACCTGAGAAACTCTAGAGTTTTGTTTTACTTTATTAACTTGGAGTACTTTTAAACAGTTTTTAAACAAAGTTTTTCCCTTGACCAGCAAGGGAATTTTCAGCCTGAAGTTCTCAGCAGCATCGGGTGAGGCTCTTGGCCAAGTTCTCCAGATACTGTATATCCACAAGGACAGCCTGCTGGCTCTTGCTGTGGCATTTTCTTAATCCTCAGAACAGATTTCCTGGATCTAGGAAATTTAATTCCTGACTCCTTTGACCCAGATGCTGGCGAAAATGCAGTCTGCAGTCTGTACATAAATATGTGTGGTCAATTTTTTCTTTTTTTTTTTTTTTTTCCTTCTAGGAACTGGCCTTGCTGTTAAATTTTTCTAAAACAGTCATATTAGTATGTTCAAAAATCCACTGTTGAGTTTCAGATAAAGGATCACATCTGTTCATGAAAATCTTCTTCTCAGCTGGGTTGCAATCTATGCAGCTGCTGCTTACCGGATGGAACAAAGTTTTGTCCTACAGGAATGAAAAAAAATAGAATTAAGTAGCAAATGCCAGATCATTGGAAGTGTCCTAATTTTACAGAACATGGATTAGACCAGCCCTGTTTGAAATGATTTTGTGGTCTCTGTGCACTAACCTCCTGTAATAACAACAGCTATTATTAGAAAGCTGTAGAGAATGGAGTATTTTCTTCCCTTGGGCTATTATCCTTTATGAAAATGGGGATTCAGGAAAGAGGGAGATATCATCTGGTCTTTGACTAACAACCACATAATATAATGAAAAAATAGAATGTCTTTTAATATCTTTACATACCATGTATTTGCTTGGAGCCCATTTGACTGTCTGAACCTGAAAAATTGATTTGTTTGGGTTTTTTAGAGAAATCTTGCACTTGACAGTGTTGTGTTTCCTGGCAGGGGGAGCTGTAAAATCTTCAACTTGGTGAAGATGTTAAAAATGAATTATTAACTGAAGTGGTGGACAGATGGACACAGGATTGATGTTCTCATCCCATTCAATGCTTGTGGCCTTGCTAAGACCAGCCACTGAAATATCCTCTCTCTCCTAATAAGATGGAAATCCTAACACTGATTTAGCTCCATATGGAGATTTTGTGAGGGTAAGCATGGATTAAGTTGCTTTAAAAAGCATATTTATGATGATTAGTTTTATTAATTTTACTTCACAAAACTGGAGTGAATAGTAAGTAACCTGAGGTGAATCTTTGTGAAAGCAGTCAGTTGAGCAGGTGGTGAGTTGGGTAGTTTCAATATACTTAGTTGATGTAGGCAAGTTTTTTGAGAAAGACAGATGTGGGAGTCATTAGATGGTTTGAAAGTTTCCAGGGACTATATTGCATCTGTTCAAATAAATTTCAGATTACTCCTGGTAAACCACATTCAGGCTTTTCACCTCCTACCAATGTTTGCCCTGACAGTATTTTAATACTAATCCAGGATGTGCTTGCTTGCCCAGTTTGTGAGAGGGAAAAAAAATCTACTTCTCAAATTGCAATTTATTAAGAACTCACACAAGTACTCTGGGTGCTGAGCAACAATCACAGCACCACATTAAAAATACCCCACATTAAAAAAAAATACGACAACAAACAGAAACAGCAGCTATTTAAAAAATCTTTGAAAAATTAAGTTGTTTTTTTTTTTTTTTTAATTTAGGAAAGATGAAATTCACTGATTTTTGGTTTGTGAAAAAATGGTAAAGTACAATGCCTCTTTTTAAAATTAATATATGCAATAAAGAACCAGGTCAAAAGTACCTTGTGCTCTGGCTGAATGGAATGCTGTTATATCTGCTTTTCACACTCTTTTACTTTCAGCACTGGCCTTTCCCTAAAAGCAGTGGATAAACACACACCCCTGCCCCAGACCAAAATTCAGAGGGATGCCATCAAAGCTGACAGGACCAAACCAAATGAGCAGAGGCCTTTCTCTTGTGTTCTACAAGGACAGCAGGCAGGATACTTGAGCTTGCAAGAAGGGGGCAACTGTACTGTGTACAAAAGACTACTGTGTCCCTGCTAGGATGAGGTGGGCCTGTAAGAACTGCCAGGCACCATATGGGCTGGTGCGGGCACCCATCTGCACCTTGCCAGCTCCTCCTGTGTAATAAGATCTTGATGGAGTGGCACTGTCCGAAATCAGGACACAGTGACTGTGCCATGGCCACCCTGCCTAATGTGGGACCTTGAAGGAAGGGGGCATATGTTTTTTCTTGCAGTATAGCTGGGCATGAGGGCCAGCCAAGATATTAGGAAGTCAAAGTTGGAATGCTAGAAGCTTTAATAAGATAGCTGGTTCAAGAAGAAAGGAAACAGCTTCAGCACAAAAAGCTTGCCATGAAAAACACTCCAGCCTTTCCAGAACGCTGGCAGTCTTTCTTACAGAAATATCACAGGCAGAAAATTTTTGAGTGAAGCATTATTGCTGCTTTTATTTAGAGAGCATGGTTATTTGGAAAGAAGAGTGTCTTTTAAGAATAGGGACAGAGTTACCACTCTGGAAAAACTTCTGGCTGACTTAGCTATCTATAAAGGCCTGTTAATTTATCATCTCAAGCTTATGCTGATTTAAGGTCAAAGCCCAGTGGTCTTATCTTCCACTGGATTTTAGTGGAAACAGGTTTAGGACTTCAAGGGGTAACAGTTGCATGCATCCCAGAGAAGAAATTTACAAGACAAATATATAAATTCCTCTTTACACCAATATTGAGAAACAACATGCACTCTTGTGGAGACATTTCTAACATCTGAAAACAGCAGAATATTTTTTTCCTTCTGCATGAAGGCAAGCCTGAAGATTATTTTCAGAAGGATAAACTCCTCCATATGATAAATGGTCTTGACAGTTCAGGGGGATTGGTAGTGACACACAGAGCCTTTCATTTCTTACAGGATACTGCTGTAACTATGGCTAAAGTCAAGAGCAACTGGAAGTCATTATCAGCTGGTGGCTGTGGTAGTTTATCTAAAATAAGTTGGTAGCTCCAGTTCAGTTTCAGCAGGACTGAAGACCGTATGATAAAAGCCACTATCACTATGACATGTTTTAGTTTGTCTGAGGGAATAATCTACACATCTCCTGCGTGACGAGTGAACCGACTCTTACAGTGTGTTCCTGCAGCTGTCAGGAGACTATGAGCAAACCCCTGTCCTCTGGGCACAGATTTTGATGCTGTCAGTCTAGCATCTATCATAATCACTAGGCTCAGGCTAGAATTACCATATAATGAAATTGATTTTGCACAATTGTTTCTTTTTAGAGGCCTACTAAATCAGCCCTCTCTTGGATACTTCTGCTCTACAAATAGCAGTAGTGGGCCTGTGGCACATAAACTGAATCATACTTTACCAGAATCAGTGCACTACCTGTCAGCCCAGAATGATACTACATTGAAAACCAGAGGTGTATTCCTTCACAATGAGTAACAGAAATTTGTAGGCACTGTTCATCATTGGCTCTGGCATGCTTAGGAATACCAAACAGAGTCAAAGAAATGGCTTTAGCTTGAGAAGCTAAAGCCATTCTCCCAAATATCTAATAATTACAGGTTATTTACACTTATCTATCTAATGTCTTACATTGCTCCAATATGGTGCCAATATTTTTTGTCCTGGCATTACTCACATTCTTCTATTTACAACCCACAGCAATGTTTGCAGTACTGCTTGGATTTATTCTGCTCCATTGCTTCTTACAGAGTTTTCTCAAAGGTATACTTGGCTGTAGACCAGTATTTCAGATTGGTCCTAAGAAAATTGATTACTTAATACTGCAGACTTACAAGACTTTCAAATAGCTGCCCAGATGTAGTTTAAGCAGTATGGGAATAAGAACAGTTTTTTGACACATGTTTATTAGTGGTAGTTTTGGCTTCATTCATCTGAAAAGAATGTGGTTTGCACGCTCTGAGACTGCACTGCAATGAGAAGCAAAGTGCATGTAATGGGGATAGGCTGTAGATTTTTTCCAGAAGAGCATTCCTTACCCAAAGTAAAATATTAATGTATTCTACTTGCCACTAAAATATTTAAGCTGTTTTTACTCACCAGGATCCAAAAACAGGTTGTTACGATTTCTATGCTATAAGAATATGGAATATGAAAATGGTGCCTGGCTTCAAATTGCATTTGCAGCACTTTGTAATCACTTTACAGCCGTAACTTTTTATCAGTGACTCAAGATGCAAATGATAATGAGAAGAGACTCATCTTTAAATTAATAAAAGCCTCTTATGTTCTAGTTTTATAGAAATAATATGAGATCAAGATAAGAAATGCTTCTTATTAGGCATTTTAGAAGACATTGACAAGCAAAGTAATTTCTCCTAAAGCATGAGAAGTATTTTTGGCAGGATGGATACATGACCATTAGGAAGTTATAGTGTCTATAAGTGGAGCAGAGAACAGAAGAGAGTGGCTGACTTGCTCTCTGTTTTTTAAAAGGAAACACTTCTTTCTTAACCACATTATTATTCGTAGGTAAAAGGCTCTAGCATTCCCTAGGTAAAAGGCTCTAGCACAGATTGGTTTTTGTTTTGTAGAGGTGAAAACACTAAAAGGTCTATTGCCCAGATGCTTTCAAAGCTGGAAAAGGATTATATTGCATATAAGGTTTTTGAAGGTGTAGCTATACTACCAGAAATCTCTAATATAAATCTGCCCTTTATCTGAGGAAACAGATTATAGGAAACATTAAAAAATACTTACTGTATAGCAAACTAAAAGTAAGCTTAAAGAAAACCATGTATATAGAATTCTATTATTCCAATGAAGTTTCTTAACTTGAAGGTTTATGCAAATTGACCAGCTCTCTGTCAGGTTGGGATTACGGTTAAGAATGTGTCAGTACTTCCATCATAACAAAACTTGTGGTGTTTCTTGCTGAGATGGAAATGCCTGTCTTGCATTGAGAATTTTTATATGAGTCCTGTCAGCCTTGTGGAAATTAAAAATGAAGCTGTGAAGAGAATTTAATAAAACTTACACTGTGTATTTTTTACAAATGTCATTTTTTTTCCGTTACCTGCTATATTCTGTCCTCATCAAAGGTGATGAGCCTTACAGAGTGTAGCTGCAGACCTGCATTTTGTCTTATGAACTGGCTATATTAAGCAACAATGAAGTGTTAAGGGTATGAAAGCTTTTTGATTTGCAGCTTGGATAGGCAAAAGATAAATCGGAAGGGTTTTGAAGCAAGAACGGATTATTACTGCATTATAAAGTCAGATAGGCAGCAATACAACCACCACAATTTATATCCTCTAAATATCTGCCCCATATATTCTAACTTTCTTACAAGTAATACCTCAGCTTCAAAGGGATTACATTTCTGGAAAATCTTATGATGGACCTCGATTTGCAACATAAATAAGGTAAAAAGGCACAAGCTAATAAGTAGGCACTCAGAAAAAAGGCATCAGGAGAAACCTATTTTTAACGGTTTTGAATTAGTTTTGTACTATATATATATTTAAACTAGAAAACAGTATTGAGGTTTATCTGGCAAAGACCAATTCCTAGTGCTCTGGCCTCAGCTTAAATAACGTGAAGGGCAAGGCACAAAGGTCAAAGAAAACTGAAGCATGTGTGAGAGAAATCCTCAGCACTTCAGAGAAATCCTTATGCTGAATGGAATACATAGTTTATTAGTAAAATCTTTAATCAAGACAACTTGCTGATAAACTATTAAAAACCCCTAACAACAACAGCAACAATGAATCAGTAGCATTACCAAGACTTTTTACCCTAACTGAAGCTCTGATTTTTCTAGCTTGACCTCCTGTTTTCAATGATTTATAAAAATGGGCTGAAATTCAGCAGATCAAAGTAGTGTCTAAGCAGCTTATCTTTAGTTTATGAACTCCTGCCTCTTTTGGGCTTACAGCAGTGCTTTTAATGTTGGGTGGGTTTTTGTTTTTGTTGGTTTTTTTTGTTTGTGTGTTTGTTTGTTTGTTTTGGTTTTTGAGGGAGATTTTTCTGCCACTTATAATCTTTAAAATATAGTAAAGTACATTTAACTCATGAGCAGCATGTCTTGCTGCTGTCACATTGGATGAAAATATTTCCACCAGTGCCTCTGTTAAAATGACACAAGCATCTTGAAGCGCCAGAATGGTAAAAAACCTTTCAGGGAACAGATCCAATACAGACACCCTCTGAGCTGGATCAGATCCATTTTCATTTAAATTTGACCTAAATATCTGAATGCTCAAAAGGAACATGAATATGTTTACAGAGATTACCACAAAATTAAACAGAATAGGATGTGGTAGATTGTAAAACAGAACTGCTTTGACAGGAAAGCACAAGCCTGTGCTAAACTGAATACAGGCTCAAGATGGTCTGAACCTCTGAGATGCCCCACAGTGACTCTGACCTTCCTATAGCTCCAGTGCTGGTTTCCCTTCATCCCGTGACAGTCATACAGTGTGACAGGGCTACTGTGCGAGATGGCGTCGAAGCAGAACTTCCTGGTGTGAAGTGGCTCCCCGGGCCGAATGTCTTCTCTCCAACCAAAGGTGAAGAGCTGGGAAAACAATCACATATTATTAGTGAAAAACGTTTAAAATAACACACAAAATATTAATGCAGGATTCCCTTTTTGCACACCCAGATGCTGGCTAAATGAGGTCCTGCTTGTGTACGATTCAGTGATGCCAACTGCCTTAATTAAAGTGCATCAGTGGCCATGTAGAATATACCCCAGGAAGGCACAATCCCAGTGTCAGAGAAGGAAAAAATCTCTAGTGACAAAGTACTGCAGAGAGAACAGGGGATATGCTGCATTAAAGTCTTTAGTTACCCCAGTTAAAGCAGCACCTGTAGGCACCAAGATTTCAGCTCCCTAGGACTCAGAAAGCCACTGCCAGTGATGTTCCTTTAGCTCTCATTTGGGTCTGAACAAGATGCCCAGAGAGATTTTCCCATCACAGCCTCTTTCCTATGTTTAATGAGCAGTTTCCTTCTGTTTATAAGGGACACTGTTACCATCGCCTCTCTCAACTGTCTTTTTCCCCCAAACAACACATGTTAAATGATCTTCATCTTTCTACTTTGAAACCTGTGAGCTACAGGCATCTTGTCAAAGCCCTTTTTCTCACTGCCTGAGAGGAGTCATGGAGGGTCACAGTTAATAGAGGAATCCTTCTCAATTAGACAGCAGCTGTCTGAAGTGATGCTGTGACACTGCAGTCTTTCAATCATCAGATGAAGGTGACAGTTCTGACAGCATCAAATTTAAAGACGTGGAGTGCATTTTCCTTTCCATGGACCAATCCTTGCAGAAAAGAAGTTGCAGGCTGTAAATTACTACCCAGAAGCTCTGTCAAGATCTGTGAGGTTATTTTATTTTCTTTCTTTTTTTTTTCTTTTTTTGAGTGAGTGCTATTCTTCAGCTTTCTGCACGACTTTTGATTTGCCATAGGAAGAAAAAAAAAAAAGACACTAACACTGAGAAAGTGAAGCTCTCTTTAAATGAGCAAACTTTGCTAGTAGTAACTGTTCAGCTGAGATGGTTCATGTGCAAATGCACACAGGCTCGTTATCCAGAGAAGTAGCTCCCCATACTGAGTTCAGCTCCCTATACCGAATTCAGACTGTCTCCAGCACCTCACCGCAGCTCCTTTTGGCCCTTATCTAGCACCCTGCTCCTCCAGTGTGTACATTCCCTGACAGAACCAGCTATAAACTGAAGCTTAATAAATATCAAGTGGGTCTAATCCTGAACAATTCTGTAGTGGTTCCCAGGTTTTAACCTCTTCATTGCTATAGTGATCTTCTTTCCATAGTCTTCCTAAAAGAAACACCTCTCAAAAATACTTCATCTTCAGTGCGGTACCATCCTCTGAATACCACATTTGAAAGGTCTTACTGTCTCTCTTGGCTCGTAGGACCCAAACACAAGTATATATCAGAATATTTACCTTTTTTTTCCACTAATGTTTCTTGTTGTAAGACCTTGTTTGCTCTGTTAGCTGCTGTTACTCTCTATTTATACCTGCATTATAAGTCTTCTAGAGAATGTTTTCTTAATCTGTCTCTGCGTCCTGCTTATTTCTTTCATTTCCCAGAGTGCATTTTACATTTATCTGCAGTAAAATTCAGTGGACAGCTTTAACCTCATTTTCAAAGCAATTTCTGCTTTTCAAAAGGTTAAATCTTTTTTCACTTTTCTTTATGTTTCTTTGAAGCATCATCATGGACTCCCTACAATAACTTATCATTTCACAAGCAAAGACAGAAGTAAGATTTGGTACAGAAAAAAAAATACACTGCTGTTTCTTCAGGAAAAGAGACGCCTAAGACAATTTTCCTTTAACGAAAAGCCAACAAAAGCCATTTTCTTTATCTTATCCTTTACCTTTCTTCAGACACATAATAAATCTAGAGTTCAAAGTAATGAATAAGAAATACCTAGAGGAATGGTGTGGAACAGTGCTTCTGTGATATTCTCACTCTCATTAGTACTACTGCAGAGAGAGATTCTATTTCAGGACCAGCCTCATCTTTCCCAGTGGGTGGCTCACCAAATTTCTCATTCTGTGCATGAGTTGTGAGCTGAGGGACCAATTCTTGCTGCTCTCTGGACCTTGGCCTGAGGACTACTACCCTACTGAATGCATCAGTACACCTGAAAGAGCTCAAGCCAGACTTTAAATTAGATCATACTGATCCAAACTATTCCTTTGCTCTTTTCCACTCTGTGGTTTCTGAAGACTATCAGGGCTGTGTCCTGTTTGCAAGTCAAGACATGGTAATAGCAGAGGGTTTTTATTCCCTTCCGATGAAAATGAGGATCTGTGTAATACTAGATCTTAATGTTTAGACTAGCTTAGATTCTTTTTCCTCCTTCTTTATCCTCCCATTTTTAAAAAACAGGTTTTTTTTAAATCAACAAGTACGTCTTCTCCCTAGTGATATTATAAAACCAACCTTGCTAGGGACAGGAACTCAGTTTTAGGACTAAGAGTGAGAAGAGAAAAAAAAATCAGAAAAAAGTTTATACTTCTCTATACATCCAATTAATATTAAGATACTGCAGTTACAGACACAACATGAAGGTGTACAATCTTTCCAATCTCATAATTCAAAGCTTTCCCCTTTTAAACAGCAATTTTCCTCTAGTTAAAACTGAATCTGGCCAATATAAATATTATCTCTCCATTGCATAATGTCCAACAATGCTACATATTATTAGCTGGATCCCAGAGTCTATAATGTTCTGCTTTGCCACCACTTGTCACTTTGGATTTCATTGTTCCTTTGTTAGAAACAAACTTTGTCAGATTTTACAAGAAATGGCTGAGCCTTTTGTACCCTTTTTGTAATTAATTCATTTTTGACTGCTTGTTGATCTGAAACAAGGCTGCACGAAATTCCCAGTCACATCAATAACAAACAGCAGGCTGATTCTTCACCTGCAACACATGGAGTTGCTGTTCACTGTTCCCTGCTGGACCCAAGAAACCCTCTGTCCTGGCTCAGTGGTTGCTCATTCTCCTCTTTTGCTTTCTCTCATACCGGAGTCTGTAAAACACAGCCCCATCCTCTGTGTTTGCAATCAAGCAACCCCTCAGCCCTCATGCTTTGCCTTTTCATGTAGCCGAGCCCTGTCATGCAGTAAGTGGGAAATACAGTTTTCCAGCTTCATTTACAATTGGCATGGGGCCTGATAGAATGATTGCCTGATAGAGCCATTGGCCTGGGACTGTCTGTAGGACAAAGGCCCTTTTGATGCCATTAATGCTTTCCAGCCTGGCAATATCGCTTAATTACTCACTGTCTGGCTGGGGTCTGTCAGCTGGCACTGTGTTCGACTGTGCCATTACACTTGAGGGGACAATGTGTACCCCAATCCAGAGATTAAATGTTACATTTCAGCGCTGGGCTCTGGCTTGAACTATACCTCCAAATACAGAAGAAAGAGCTGGGCACTTGCTGAGCCATGTTAGAGATGGTGTCTGTCCACTCATTCCTTGGCAAGGCTGGGGAACTTGATAAGAGACAGTGATACTTGTCATTTTCCTTTGCTGTTGGTTATCAGTCCAGCAAAGCCTCAGTTTCCCCTGAAGCCAAAAGCTAGCTTTGGGCAGACAGAGATGGAAGAATGCAGTGCTGGGACATATCCTCCGGTCTCCTTTCTTCCCCTCTGGTTTGGGGAAGTTTTCCAAAACCTCAGTGACACATCATCACTTCTCACCTATCTCCTGTTTACCAGAAAGCCTGCAAGTGCCCCACAAACCTTTCGACTGCTGCTTGCCCAGCGGGGCTTGCACAGCCCTAAGGTGGAAAGTTATTTTTCTCTCCTGGGGTCTGCTAAAGGGCTGTGCCCCTGGCGTGGTGGCCGAGACTGTCAGCTTTTAATTCCTGCCCTGGTAACACGACGTGAATCCAGTGGCACAAAGGATCATCTCTCTCTGGCACCGATACGTGTAGCACCAGTCACATTAAGCTTGCCACTGAAATCTGTAAATTTATACCAGAAGTTACAAGTCCGCCTCAGCGTCAATCCATGCTATTCCAAATACGATAATAAAATACTTGATACTTTCATTAATTCCGCCAGTTTCTACTGGTGTATGCAGAACTCATCGAGGCTACAAATGCCGTGAGATCTAAAGAAGAGGAGCTGTGTGACAGCAGCGCAGGGCTGGCCGTGAGGGGGGCTGGCCGTGAGGGGAGCTGGCCTGAGCGCGGCAGGCCGAGGGGAGCCGGCCGTGAGGGGGGCTGGCCGTGAGGGGAGCCGGCCGTGAGGGGGGCTGGCCGTGAGGGGCGCTGGCTGTGAGGAGGGCTGGCCGTGAGGGGAGCCGGCCGTGAGGGGGGCTGGCCGTGAGGGGGGCTGGCCTGAGCGCGGCAGGCCGAGGGGAGCGCTGGCCGTGAGGGGAGCCGGCCGTGAGGGGGGCTGGCCTGAGCGCGGCAGGCCGAGGGGAGCTGGCCGTGAGGGGAGCGCTGGCCGTGAGGGGCGCTGGCCCCGCAGGAGCCGGGCCGGCCGTGTGTCGGCGGGCCCGTTCCGCTGGGCCGCGCTGCCCCCTGCCGCCCGCCCGGCGCTCCGCAGGGCCGCAGGGCCGAGCCGCTGCCGGGCAGCTTTCCGCAGGTTTCGCTTTCCGGGCCCTGCGGCAATGCGAGAGGATGCGCCATTCCCCGGCAGCCCGGCGGAGACAGTTCGGGCTGTCCCTGCGGCACACGTCGAGCACCCAGGGCACACACATCGATTTCTCCCTACCATCCTTCTCCCTTCGTATCATTTCCCCTTTGTTCCAGCCTTTACTCTTTCAAATTATATTTCAAGTCTCCCTTTTCTCTGCTAGCATTTTTTTCTTATCTCACCTTATCCAACGTTTTTTCTTTTTTCTTCTTTTCTTGTATCTGTCATTCTCAGCATTCCCCCCTCCCCTCTTGAGGAGGGTTTGGAGCTGTGCAGATTTTAAAGCCAGAGAACGCTGTGATGGGTTTAGTCTGGACCATACAACTTCTTTCAATTAACTCCCCGAATTACTGTCTTTCAGAAACAAAACAATTATATTTATCTAGTTTTGGCACCCTATCCCCATGCAGTATCTTTGATGGCTATCTGAAGAATTCTTCTTTCAGCAACTTCATTTTTTGGGCCATGTTGTCATTTACCTAAATAGAATCTTTCAGCTTCTTGGTTTCATTCACTTGCAGCTCTCGTCCTGCATTTCTCAGTATCCTCAGAGCATGCTTTTTTGACCTCAGCACTTCAAATACCCCTCAGAACTCCTCTCTCCTGAGCTTTTAAGTTTTTACAAAGTGTTGTGTGACTGCCAGGTCAATTCTTCTCCTCAGCATTAGAAATCTTTTACTAATCTGTGACCTTTTCCTGTGAAAGAATCACCCACTCACTAAATTTGCTGATAAACGGTCAGGTTGCACTTTTCATCTGGATTCTCCTTACTCATGTTGGTAAGACCCACAGCCTGTAAGTCACGATCCCCTTCCTATGGACTCACAATGAGTAAAAAATTAGAGCTCTTTTCCTACAGACTCCTGAGGACTAATAGTTTTCTACGTAACCAATCTAAATAAAAGCCTTTTTTGAGTCTTTATAATTCCTTGTCTTTTTAAATACTTTTTTGCTTGCTTTTACCCATTTATCTCACTTATGCCTCATATTTGTTTAAAATATAACTGCTTATTGAGATAAAAGTTTAAAAACAGACAATGACTGGAGCTGTAAAAGGCTTGGTACTATAGTTAAAATGTTTTCAGGTAACTCAACCAAAATCAACGTTTTTGTGATACATTGGAGGAGAATGGGGCCTCAAAAAGCTCTCTGGGCATTGCAATTACTTTTGGAAATGAAGACAGCTCAGGTGGCTGTTGGAATTTCTTAAGTTATGTTAAGGAGTATTTTGTAAAAGCCATTAAGGTCAGTAATAATTCAAAAATATTTCTACATTTCTAAATGATTTTTGTTTTACCTTAAGAAAAAGAGAAGCTATCAGAAAATGTTTAAAAACTGGGAAAGAGAAGCAGCAATGTTGTTCTCTTTGCACCACTAAAATACCTGTTCATGTGACCATGTTCGTTCTGAGCCATCCTTCACACAAATGTCCAGCCTTAGCTCAGTCCCTGTGGCTCCGTGTTTGCTGTCCACACACAGGTTGGCTGCCACGTTTCGAATCTGCAAAACCAAGCAGCAACATTTCACATTAAACTGGGCTGCAGAATTGAGCTTTCAGTGTCAGGGCTTCAGGAGTTTAGCTCTGAAGGACTTGAGATTGACTATCAGTTACATAAAACTGGTAAGAGTTACTTTTTACAGGGTAGAGAGCTGTGTCCTGGAATGAACTACTCTTTATAGGAGCATCTTCAGAAGAAGCAAAGTTTGAAATATTCTGCTTAACAAATGAAAGGTAGGTCTTATGAAATACCTTCATGCAAAAAAACTAAAAAGAGTTTGAGAAGTTCAAAGCTTGTCTGACTGCTTTTTCCATCCTATGAGAGCAAGAGAGATCAACAGTATTGGAAGGAACTGATTTCTGTACGAGTCTCAACCAGACACAGGAGCAGTCAGCATGCATTAGAAATTCAGGCATGCCTTGCTCCAATCCATGCTCTTACTTTTACACAATAACACCATTGTAGATAAGGTCACACATTACTCCCTGAAGTGCATAAAATTAAAAAGCACTTAACAAGTCTGCACTGAAACTTAGGCTTTTAAAAAGTACTTAACAAATCTGTACTGAAACCTATGCTTACCAATGGAGGTTCCTCATGCATGCCTGCTGCAAACATTGCAGTGTAACTTGTTCTTAAAAGGAAAATCTTGTTCTTGAGGCTGAAGCAACTGAGTAATTATTAATCTGTGACTATCAATCATACCAGTTATGTACTACTGCTGACAGGTAAATTTTCTCTGAAACATCGGGTTGAAAAGTAGATTTGCCCACTGCTACCAAAAAGAGCAAAATCCTAACTTTGTGTTGCAAATCCACACACATTTCTCCCGAGTTCCTTAGCTGGGATGGTTAAAAATCCTTTAGACACCTCCATAATGAAAAGGATTTCTTAAAGAAACTTACTCTCTCAATGAGATAAGCAGAAACTAAGTAATCAAAGTGCATGGAAACGTGCACAAATTCTAAATGCATAATATATAGAAAGCAGGTGCATATTTTGACATTCTGGATGCTACTTTGATCCTTTTTTGAAAGAAAACTAGATGCTTTCTAGAATAGAGATACAATTGAGTGGTCATTCGTGCTTTTTCATGAAAAATACTTTAGAAGTTGCTGCTGTTGCCATAATATGCCAGAGAAATGTACACATTGCCACTGCAAACCTCACACACATCGAAAGGATGGAAAACTTCACAGCATTACACAAAACATAGCAAGGAAGGGAAATCCTTGTGCATGCAAGACACATGCCAGAGCTACTCTGCTCTTTTTCTGATTCTGCAGGGGTGGGATCGAGTCTGTGAACCATGCTCAAGAAAGATTTACACAGATGGTAAAGCAACAGCTAGTGAGAAAATGTAAAAACTGTAAAATGTAAAAACTCTCAGAAAGGTTTCAGAAAGTGAATTTGCTTAGCTTAGAAAATTGCAGACTGGGTAAAAGATGGGGGAACATCAGTTTGAACTGCCTCCAGGACCCTTTGATCCTTCACCAGAGCTCAGAGAAGCATTTAAAAAACATTTGGACCAGCCCAGTCCTAGGATATTTTTTATATTTTCAATACAATAAAAGTTTGCTAAAGATGAGGTAAAACACTAGGTCTTCATACATACAATCCAGCACTGGGCAGCCCCACAATAACAAAGATGAAAGGCAATTAGTTCTCAACAACCTGCATTTTCATATTACCCAGCAAACGAGGCAGGAAAGAAAAATGAGGGGAATAGAATTTAATGTCCTATTTTTAAAGTTTCATGTGAATTACCTTCTCCAAGTATAATTTTTTTTGAGAATGTTCAATCATTTCTCAATGCACTTAAATTTCCATTGTATAGATAAAGATTTCTGGTCTAACATAAAATTAAATGATAATCAGTTCAGTTCTTACAGCATGCAAGTTAATTAAAATGGAACTGCTAACAATTGCCATTAATAATTGGGTATATTTATGTGATTCAGAATTGTAAAATGACAGTGAATACACTCCACATCCAATTAATGCTTATTGCATTAAAAGGCTTTCATAATTTTATCTCAATGGCATCACTCCATCCCAGTCTCTGTCATTTGGACTGTGCAGTAAATGTGTTCAGGCCATTTCTTGAAAAGGCTTGAGCTGAAGCTACATTTAGTTCTTTCACCGGTGGAATCTGTCTCACATTCTTTATTTCCTCCCCTCTTCCCTCTACTCCTGAAAGATTTGCTTGAGTTAGTTTTGACTCTGTTTTTTTGCATCTTACATGTTAGCTCATCCTTTTTTTGTTTCATCCTTTCAGCTGCAGAGGGGTCATGGTTTGTTTTTTGTTTTCTTTTTTTAATAAGGCATTTTAGTCAAATCTGTGCTTTTGTTCTCTGGCATTTCTGTGTGGCCTTGGCAGTTGCTAGAAACTGAACTGAGCCACCATGCCAGAGCCAGAGCCATGGGGAACATTCTGCCAAGCACCAGCACCACACAACCTGAAAATCCCCTAAGATGCTTCCACGGACAAAGGAAGGAAAGCAGAAGCACAGGGCTTTTTTCTTCTAATTTATATACCAATATGCTTTTGAATTGCCTTGTCTCCAGTCATACAGCACAATGGATTTAGGATTTTTAAAGTTATGAGTTACAACTAAAAAACAAATAGATAGTGATCCTAAGACATTTCCAACATTCCTATTTGTGCAATTGTAAGACCAGGGATGAACAGGAGACAGATTTTATCAGCCATGCTGGTAAGGCATTGAGTTGCTACATACAAAACTTTTTTGCTCAGCCTTAATTGCCATCATTTGTACACACAGATAAGCACACAGGAAAATCATGCTTCCAAGGACTTTGATGTATGGACTGACAAGGATGGTAAGTGGTGATATTAAAGGCTGTTTCAGAATTAAACAAATTCTGACAAAAGCACAGGATGCCATCTGTAAGTCATCATACATACTTCTTGAAATGACATTGTAACTCACTATGGGCACTGTAGTCCTTACAGAGAGCAGATGAGGTGTAGAAGCATAGAGAATACAGCCTCCTAGAGCCCAGCAGTTATATTGACCAATATTCTTTTGTAATTCTACAACTCTACAACTTTTCCCAGGCAAATGAGTTCCTGCAAGATTTGCTGTTGAGGTAGTAGCTGATGTCCTGGCTCCTGCAGCCTTACCCCGCCTGCACTGGAGCCAGGCTGTCACTTCAGCCTTCATGGAGCCTGGGAGGGGTGAGCCAGAGTGTGGGAGCCAAACTCCCAGGGAATCTGGGAGCTGCCCTGCATGCTCACCATGACATGAAAGTCTCTGTGCCAAAAGCAGAAAGAGGGAAAGTGTAGCAATCTAAAGACAACTGTGTGTTCAATATTGTCATCTGTGAACAGTGACTATGGAGATGGTATTAGGACAATGCTTATGGATACAGCAACAACAGAAGCACCTTGTACTATCAGTTTATATAATACTCTCCCTACACCTGATTTAATGCCTTAAATATGAAAATGGATTTAACTCTTAGAAGACATTAGCAGTATTCATTTATGTTACTTTTCTTTTGTTTGAGCAGCACTTAGAGCCAGTTTTAGTGCACTGCTTACATACTCAGATAACCCTAGGGCCATCAATGTCTATGAATCAAATATATAAAAATGAGCCACTTCTCCTGTCAACCGATACACAGTAATTTTAGAAGTATTTATCCTTTGTGTCAGCCATAAAAAAGAAAAAGTCAAAGGTAAAGAAGTTAAGCACTGCCAAAACCTCACTGAAGAAACACGGGACTCTTACTCAGTGTGACATTGATTCTGGTAAAAGAATTTGAACAGTCCAGCTGTGCAGCACTCAGTCTGTGCAGGGTGGGGTTATATCGCTTTTGTAAAACAGATGTGTGACAATTGCTGGGCACAGATTGACTCATTAAGGGTATGAGGATGACACATTTTAAAAAAAGGAAAATAACTGAAAGAGAAGTTAGTGAGTTCTTACGCTTTCTTCTTTTTTCAAATGCGCCACTTGACTTCATGTGCGACATTTTCATGTCAATGCTGTAAAAATTCATGAGTTTGGGGCTGAGAAAGGAGTAGTCTCAGGTTTACAGCTTAGCACTGCTGCACTGAGTCACTTCCTCTTTCAATTGTTGAAGTTTATGTAACAGCAAGTGAAACCAAGATTAAATAATTCCCTTTTGACTGAGTAAAACAACTTTTTTTTGCACCACCCTGACTACAGAACTCATGAAATCTAAAATAAATTACAATGTCTGATATTATATGATTAATTTAATGTAAAATGTGTTTTCAAAGATACTGGAAGCTGTGATATCTGCACAATATATTCATGCTGGATCACAGCTTGTAAATTCTTGAGTACTTCCTAAGAAAACACCTCGTGGCTAATTTACACCTATTGTTTTAGGTAGCAGGACTTCAAATACATATTACAAATATATTATTCTGTCTTACAAAAAGCATGGGACGGGTATTACTGTTTTCAACTTGTACCAGACATCCTAGTATATTCAAAAGAGTAAGAATAAAACCTAATTGAAAACTTTTCTCTTTTCCACAGTGGAAAAGAGTACAGTTACATCACTCAAACACAGAACTGACAGTCTCACTAAATTTAATCTATCTGAATTTGCTGTTACATTGCTCTACTGCACATATTTCAGATGTTACAACACAAAACAGATTATCAAGGGTATGTACACCCTGCCAGCTACAAGGACAAAAGGCACAAACACACATAAGAGATAAGGCCATGAAAAGTGTAGAAAAAAATTGCTTTTTGTTTTCAAAATGTCCTTCTTTTCTATCATAAACAGATTTTTTTCAAGAAATGTAAGAGTCAGATTTTAAATAAACATGTTTGCAAAAAAAGAGGAGCTGAGCAGAGGCTATTTATGAGATGTCTGCTTTCACACCACATGCTTTTACTAGCTAGATATCAAAATAGTAGAGCCAAACTTGTCTGTGTACTTCATTGTTTACTCTTTCTCAGACTGGCATAGGCAAGCAGATGTAAAGTATTTCCAAATAGAAGCAGAGAGGGTACTAAATGACAGTCAGTGTTGGCACAGACTTTTGGTGTGTACAATCAGCAAGGTTTCAAGAGCTGTGTGATTCTTACAAAGCAGTAACATTACAGTCTGCTTCCCTCTTTCAGCTTCTCACAGCCATTGACCTTCAAGGATTTTTAAGGTCCTCACAAGTGCCAACAAATTAATTAAAACTGCACAGGAATGTAACGGTGTCAGGAAAAACAAGAGAAGTAGGGCTGAAAGTTCTCTTCCTGTTATTTTAGAGAAAGTATGTTTTAGACAAAAAAGAAAATCTTTGGTCTTCACATCCTTCCTAAGAACTTATTAAATACTTTTAAGGCACAGATTTCACACACCGTTGATATGATTTTGATTTACTGTCAAAAATACTTGGGTTTATGCAAAAATTGTATTAAAATTGCTATGAAAAGAATGAATACCTGAATCACAAGTTCCTCCTCTTAGACCCTCTTGACTGAGTTAAGGATTGTCCATCTGGCCAGAGAAATTACACATCTCCTGATCCTAGTCCTCCAAGGGCACCCATGTACAAATGTGAAAGATGGTGAAGGAAGATCACAGTAGCAGCCACAGCAATCTGATCCAGCCTGCCTTCTACTGATAAATTCCTTACCTCTCAGTACACATTAATCTCATGAAAGGTGGGCAGCAGGACCAAAAAGAAGAAACTTTCACAACAAGGGAATTCGTTACTGCCAAGAAGTACCAAACAGTAAGACATAAATAAATTTTCAACATCTGTAACTGATAGCTTATAAAGTAGAACTAAGTATTGATAGTACCAGAAAAATTTATTTTAGAAATCTCGCTATGAGGTAATTTGCCTTTCTAAATATGAAAATTCTGGAGAATGGCAGAGGTATTTATGTTTAGAAGTCAATGGTCCAGTCTTGACCACTGGCAATATGTAGACTTGTGCCTGACCTTACCGAATGTTTTGGTCAAAGTTTCAACTTCATCCTCTGATTTCAACTATGAAAGATAATTTTCTGTCAGCCCCAAGAGCATCTTCCAAAAATCAGAAAAGGCTAAAACTCACAGTACAGATATTCCTATGTTTTTTAAAAGTAGGACAATACACTGGAAGAGTGAAACCTTCTTTATATATCTTAATGAACTGAGAGGAAAGAGCCTTCTAAATGTGACCTATCCATGGCATGAAGCTGCTGTAGTTCTTGGGGGCAAAGGCCACAGCAATTTTTCAGTGCAACTAAGGAAGTAATTTCCTCTCCTAGCACTCCTTGTGTTCTCATTTCTTCTGCACAAAACAAGCTGTCAAAGAAAGGTTTGCTACAGCTCTGCTCTTCAGAAAGGTCTGAATGCAGAACATCTTTGATCACAGGTGGAGATTTGCAGCTGGCTATTTGCTCAGCCCCTGTTCTGCAGTGATGCTCTGATATTGGCTTCTCTTTTGTGGTCTCCCTTCCCATATCCATCAACGGAGAAATTGTACTTTTCTGCTACTGGTACTCAGTGATGACAGCACCTACAGAATATATAGAATAGCTGAGCAAAATCAGTCCTTTTAAAAGGAAAGTATCCAGGCCTTGCTTGTCACATTTCACGTGTGAGCAAACATAACTTCATCTGCACACAATTGTCATTGTAAGGACAGAAGGAGGTATACCAGTAGATATGCAAAAAATTCCAAGCAGTGACTTCAGACCTCCTTTTTACTAAGGTGATTCTCCAAATCTAAAATCTTCTGCGATATGCAGTAATGAATGCTACATACTTTTTTACTCATTCTTGTCCTCATTGTTGCATACGTCATATGCTCTCTACACACAAAGCTGTAATGAGTTACAAAAGCAACAGTGATAGTTCTAAGACATGACAGTTTCTCATTTCAATAGATAGTTCAGGGACTGTTTAACCACTGTGAACTTCCTTAATAACACTATTTAACGTCAAGTTTACTCTCATTTAATAATTTTAATTTCCCACAATCTAAAATGTTAGATTCATTTAAATTTGATCTATTCCTCACCTCCCCCCAGGCAGCAGGTGGAGGCTCCACAGGAGGGTAATATTTGGGGACATCCCAAGCCACTGCAGCCATGAACCACTTGAAATCTTTACACTTCAGGTGCTTGCGCAGCTCCTTCTGGGCAGAGATGTCACCAGTGGAGAGATGTCTGTACTCAGGCCGTCGCTGGTAAATGTACTCTGCAAACTCATCCATCCATGTCTCAGCCACTCGCTTCAGGTTCTGTGTGGCACAAAAAAGAATAAACATTAATTTCTATGTGTTTTGAGTGAATGATATTCATAACAGGGAAAAATTTAAACAAAATAAAACACGAAATCAGCATTCCACACAATTTTTAAGTTTAGCTGGTCTCATTTCTCAGTCTTTAAACCTGGAAAAGTTCCAGTAACTGTGTGCTATCTTTATTGCAGTGTTGAGCAAACACTACAGAGTACTAAGTACCCTGCTTTCCTGCTGGCTCCGTGAGAGACAGCCTTCTGTCTGTTGAACATCTTATTTTCCTTCACATTCTTTATGCATATTCTTCATATGGGTTTTTGAGTAATGATGGATATTGAACAGAAATTTCCTTTCAGCTGCTTACATTGGTCCCTGCTTTTCCCCCTGTTATTTCAGACCTATTACGGTGAAAGAATGATTCAAATTCTTCCTCCTGATGTATTTCACTTTGCATTTGACAGGCATCTGAGTTTCAATCTGCCATGATGCTGCTTAGTCACCAAGAAATTCCTACCTAAATTTTAGGGTGAGGTCTTACAAGTGGATGTTTGGGGGCAAGCAGCCCTGAAGAGGAGTTGATCTGAAGAAAATGACCTCATGGGATAGAAGCTACAACAACCTGTGGCTTTCTGCACTCACTCATCCTATGAACATATCTAAGACTATTTAGGTTCTATGAAATCCAGTTCTGGCTGTGTTCCACAAAGTCCATTTTTGTTGGTATTTTATAGGAAACAGAATTACCTATTTTGCTGCATAATAATTTATTCAAATTATAATTAATTAAATTAGCTGCCTCAATTTATAAAATAAAACAAATACAATTGCAAAGGAAAGTTCTGGGCAGACTGAAGAGATATATTTTATTATTATTTGTCACCAAGAATGGGGCGTTTTTTCTGTATTTTTGTTTGCTTTGAAAATTCCTCCTGCAGCTCAAATTTATATGCAGATGTTGTAGTGGAGTACGGACTTGGTCTATTCTGTATTGCCACAGCTGCCCAATAAACTTTTATCCGACCAACAAAGCAACATCTCTCTGAATGACATTGAGACACTAGGGTGTTCTTATTGCTTTGTTTGTTAAAACAAGATAATTAAGTTTTATAATATTCTTTTTATAGAACACTAACTACAAAACGCTGAGATTCACTCTGTAATAAGCTGGAGGACAACATACATCTGATTATCATCAACATAAGGTAATGCTTCTTTTCAGAACATTCTTTGCATCTAAGTAAGTTGGATTCATACTGACTTGCCTTCAAGATTCACTGGAAAATTCTTTTCCTGAATTTTATTAATCCATGTAAATTAAATGTCTCTGAACTAATAAGGCTTATCTGAATACAAAGACAGCAAGACACAGAACAAAGGAAGTACTTTCAGCTGACACTGCAAGATAAGTTTCTATGTTTCTTTCTGTGAAGCAAATATGTTAAACCTGCAGGGACAAAGCAAGTAACATTAAAGCAATTTAAGAATTCACAACACTGATATCCTTATTGAAAAATGGCTTGTGCCCCACATAAGTTTGACTTGTGTTGTAACTTCATGAAGACCTAAATAACTTTACAAGACATTAGAATTCAAGAATAGGAACTGGGTAGGACAAAGAAAACAAGAAAAAAAAAATTACAATCTCACCTTTCTAGCAGAAAACCTGTAACACAGAAATTTTCTGACGCATAAAAATACTCTGTGATGAGATTTTGTACATGAGGCAAAAAAAATATTATTAGGAACATTAAACAAAAAGCCAAAATAATTAAAATATGTGTGATTTCTAGCATATCTTTCACGGCAATGCTGTATACCTCATTTGCCACAATGAAAATGCAGTTTAGGACCGTTCTATAAAATAGTTTTTTTTGCAGTAATTTCATCTGATATGCTGTTTTCATGTTTAAAAAACATACTACAAAAAGAGCCATACTGTAAAAGTACAGTAAAAAATAAAAAGTTCCTTAGGAAAGAAAAATTCAAGGTAAGTCTTTCATCACCTATACTAAGAGTAGTCTCTGATGGACCTTCTTTAGTTACTTGGCTGCACTGAAACGACTGTATTTTCCTTTAGATAATTGTTACCGATAAAACATGAGTCCAACAAAAACCTTGATATTATACCTGGTCACTAACTCAAAATTCTAATTCACTGGTCAAAAACTTTTTGTTTTCCTTATAACTGTTTGGGTTTAGTGTGTGTTTATGTGTAAAACGACCAAACACAGTATTAAAAAAAAAAAGAGTTCTTCTCATGATTCCCCAAGTATCAGGTAGGACACTTTGGATAAATCTATTTAAAACTTTGCTTCCCTGTTCTTCCAAGACCGTTCTTTCCATCATATGCTAAAAATTGCCTGTAATGAACTAGTATATTATCCTTACTATGTTTATACATTGATTTCATAAGCCAAACCCTTATGAGGCAGCCCTTTCAATAGGTTTGTTTTTAAAAATACAGACTTTCAATAGGTTTGTTTTTAAAAATACAGGCTCTTGATCTGCTAGCTCTAAATCTTCAGACTACTTATGAACATGACCAAAAAGAACACTGTGTTCTGGAGTAGTGAGAAGCTGCTTCTGGGGCAAGCACTCAGCATCTAAACAATTTAGTTTTAAGGAGTTTGTTGACCTCAGTTAGCCTGAGTTAGCATTTTGTATCCTTATTACCACTATACAAGCTTAGAAATCACCATACTTCCTTTAATATAAATGTGTCCAGGCTACTACTGAAACTCCCCATACTTGAATTGAATATAGTCAGGAAGAGCTGCTGTACTGAAAGCTGGTTTGGTCCAACCTTGCACAGAAAAGGCAAACATAATTTGTTTTCTTATTTAGAACACAGCATGTTCCTGGAGCAAAAATACAGGCTGTCCAAGATGAGATGGGTGAACTTGTAAGATGAAAATCCCCATTCTGTGGCTGTCTAGCAGCATGATAAATTGCAGAGAACCTTTTAGGAGCATAACTCTTCCCTGCAAATTATGGTAGGGAGCTGCTGGGCTTTTACTCATCCGATCTGACGAGCACAACCAAAATTAGAGCCCTCATTTCTGAGCACTTTAGGCCTACCAATCAAATTACTTACTGCAAGGTAAGGATGTGATTTCAAGTACTTTAAAAGTCTTCCAGAGATGCCATTCCCATAATTTGGGTGGATGTCTGACACAGTGGATGGAGGAAGGAAATGGTCACTTTCTTTTTGCCTGACCCTTAGGTGAGGCTAGATACAAGATGAGCATGTCATATGAGCCCCACAGGTGGGAATGGTTTTGAATAGCTACCCAATCTTGACAGAGTGCAGCTGTAAACCAGGCTTTAACCAGTTTGACTTTGATAGAATTTTACTCTGTGTGGGTCTACTGCCCCAGAACTTGCATGCCAAAGAACTTTAAGAGCCTACTAGATTAGGTTGCATTTTGTGAACATCTTACAGCATCATTTAACCACTTATTTCATTTTCATCATCATGAGACAGTTAAGTTTCACAGTGAAACTAATCTTCAAATAATTTAGAGTCAACAGGAATTAGATTTGAATCATCTTGATTTCTTGATTTCCAGTCAAGATAACTCTATGTTCCTCTGGAATATGAGTAGCATAATGTTACAATTTTCTTCTACAAAAAAATCATTTAAATGCCAGTTTCTCAAATGGCATCAAATATCACTATAGGAAGAACCAGTTCTGGTGTATCTTTCTGGTAGATCACTCTTGCTTGGATTCAATCTGAAGATCTCATGTAAATGCATGTGGAAAAGAAAAAATGAAAAATAGAATCATAGAATCATTTAGATTCAAACTGACCTCAAAGATTATCAAGTCCAACTGTTAACCCAGCACTGCCAAATCCACCACTAAACCATGTCCCTAAGTGTCACATCTACATGGCTTTTAAATACCTCCAGGGACGGTGATTCAACCACTTCCCCGGGCAGCCTGTTCCAATGCTTGACAACATGTTTCTACAGCTGTAAATGGCGTAGCTTAGCTTGGTTGACAAATTCATTGCAAGGCTACAGATGTCCAGATTGGTTACTCTTAATAGGAAAAAAAAAAAAGGAAAAAAAATTAAATAAAAACAATTAAATGAAGATCAATTAATTATTATTCAGTTACATGAATTGACACACAAAATAAAGCAGTCATAGGGACTCTAAGTGGACATCTGAGGAGGTTCTCAGGACCTATCCAAGAAGACCAATAACAATTTGTTCTCTCTTTTGTAATTTTAAGTGAAAAATTTCTGTATGAGAATAAGTAAGGCCAATGGTATTTCAGTAGATGCATATTTCTATATGTTAGGTTGTAACAGATGTCACAAAGAAACTGTGAAATGAATACAACAGTGACAGCAACCACACTGAGTCATCAGCTGTCATCAGTTGCTCATTTACACATTCTTGATAAAATCTTAATCACTGTTACAATTTTACTCTCTGGTAAATTCTTTACCACTGGGCTTACATTTAGACAAGTTTTATTTAAGTTTATATGAACTCACACATTTAAGACTGTAATTTTGCTTTGTATTTTTACTCAACAATAGTCTACAAGACAGTAAGTTACAATGTCACTGATACATGAATGTCATGGTTTAACCTCAGCTGACAAGTAAGCACCACACAGCCACTTACTCAGTCCTCCTTAAAGAGGTGGGAGAGAGAATCTGAAGAGTGAGAGAACTCAAGAGTTAAGATAAGGACAATTTAACAGGGAAAGGAAAAACTTCGCACAAGCAAAGCCATTCACCTCTCCCCATGGGAAGGCTGGTGTTCAGCCGGCTCCAGGAAAGCAGGGCTCCTTCATGCCTAATGGTGACTTGGGGGGGACAAACACCAACATTCGAAACACCTCTCCTTCCTCCTTCTTCCTCAGCTTTATATACTGTGCCTGATGCCATATAGTCTGGCATATCCCTGTGGTCAGTTTGGATCAGCCATCCTAGCTGTGTCTCCTTCCAGCTCCTCACCCTGCTTGCTGGGTGGGGTGGT